CCTGCCCACACCCAGGGGACTGTCGGGAAGCCTGCAGGGATTTCAGTCAGACGACAGCCTCCCCGGGTGCAACGGGCAGAGCGTGCTGGGCTACTCACTTCCTCAGGAGTCCAGTGTGCGCTGCAGCTGGGTCTGGATCCAGAAAGTCCTAAGTGAGCAGTACTGGTGACAGTGGACACAAATCAGATCTGCGGGAAGACAAGGAGGCAAGGACAAAGCCAGTCAGGAAGTTCCAAAGAAGTCCTCGCGGGCTTTCACGACGACCTCGGGTTTGATGGAATAGAGCCAGGATGCCAAGGAAGGTGCACTGAACATTTCCAGGTGTGCATTTAAAGGGTGCACCAGTAAGAAACACCAGCCTAAGTCTCAGCTTTTTTGTTAATGACACATAACCCGCGGTGTAACAAATAGAGTTTTGACAATAACACAAGACAAATCTCTTGCGAGGAGGAGATTCAGAGACCACAACCTATCCGCGAAATGTCCGGCACGCTGAGGACACAACACGGACTGGAGTCTGTTCCGTGCACCATCAGCCAGCCCGGCAGCAGGAAGACCTGGGCGGCACCGCGGGGGGAGAACGGACAGGTCGGGTGCCGCCAGGGTGAGCCAAGCAGCCCCGTGCCTGAACACAAGGTGCAGGACGGTGTGCACCAGGAAGCTAAGGACAGGCGCGGCCAGGACATGGCAGTGAGGTTGGCTTCATGAGGAGCAGGACCGCAGATGCGGCTGCAGTCAGGAACGCTAACTAGTAGGCGGTGCTGGTGTTCAGGATGGCAATTTGACATTTTCCTTCATTTGGTTTTCTTTTCCATGTTGGCCCTATTTTATTCATTTATGTTATATAAATATCATGAAGGTCATAAAAAATGTGTTCTTCTACCACCTGTTCTCCTGCCTTTCCCAGGTAACTGTCAGACCTGTTGTGGTTTTTTTTTTACAGCTCTGTTGAGGTGTACTTGACATATAAACTGCTATACAACTTGAAAAAGTACATAACCTGATGAGTTTTGACATATGTACACAATGGAGACACCAGGACATAATAATAAACACATCCATCATCCTGCTCAAAATGTCCTCATGTTTTTTAATAATCCAACCCTTTCTTGCGCTTTACCCCATTCCCAAGCAACCACTGATCTTTCTTGTCACTATGGTTTGCACTCTAGACTTTTACATCAATGGCCTTTTCTATATTTATCCTATATAAATACATATAGGCCAAGCGTGGTGGCTCACACCTGTAATCCCAACACTTTGGGAGGCTGAGGTGAGG